AGGCTTTTTCACTTATTACTTCTTCATGCCCTGAAGGAGCAATATAGCGAAAAGGCCTTCGTTGTTGTTCACGTACATACGCACAGATGATGATTCTCATTCATTCCTCTGAGGACTGACTCCATTAATTTATATATATATATATATATATATATATATATATATATATATATATATATATATACATATATATATATATATATATATATATATATATATATATATATACATATATATATATATATATATATATATATATATATATACATAAAATTTACACACACGCACACACACGCATACATATATATATATATATATATATATATATATATATATATATATATATATATATATATATATATATATATAAATTATGTATGTATATTTATATTAACTGACTATATTATACATACACAAACGTAGATATATGTATATATACACACACATACACGTGAAGTTAATTTCGTGACAAAGATACTTTTTCGTTATTTTCGGTCATGTGTGTGTAGCATTTAAGAGATAGAGAGTGAGAGTGAGAATGAGTGTGAGAGTGGGGGGGGGGGGCAGAGGGAGGGAGAGAGGGAGAGAGAGACTAAGAGAGAGAGAGATTGAGAGAGATAGATATACAGATAGATAGAGAGATTAAGAGAGAGAGAGAGAGATTGCGAGAGAGAAGGAGACAAATAGAGTAAAGAAAGAGAGACAGAGAGATAGCACCGAAATTATACGTTCTAAAAATGGAGTGGAAATCCGATTTGACAGCAACAGCAAAAACAAAAACTAAAAAGCAATAGCACAATTATTTTGATATAAATACAGTTAATTATGATATTAATGACATTGAAAAAAAAAATACAATAATGGCGATAACAGAGACCGTTTTATCAGTGACAACAAGAATGGTGATGATGATAATAATGAAATAATAATGAAAATATTCTGAAGTGTAAAAGCAACAATAGAATATTATTATTCTCATTTTTATCATTTTTTTTCAGATTTTGTTAACAAACTTTTTATCATAATCATCATCATTACCTATTATCATCACTACCATAAGAATGATTAATTAATGCTGATGATATAGATGTTATCCATCATCCTACTTAGAAGAGTTTAGTTGTTTGCAGTGGTATTATCAGTTACAATTATTGTATTTTATTTATTTTATTTATTTATTATTTTTTTATTTCTTTACTTTTCTTTCCTTTCAATTATTACCTTCGTTGGCAACCCAGCAGACATTTTTTTTTCTATTCAACTTTCGCAAATAGTACTAATACGGATATACAATTTCCAGATTGATCAGTCGAAGTGCTTTTTTCCCCCTCTTTTTAATCTGTAAATACATTAATAATAATAATAAAATATATATGTTATATAAAACATATCTGATTAGCTTTCGGCAGCTTTGGTGTTGTTATTTTCACCGTAAAAAGTGAGTTCTGTTTGTTAATTATAAATAATTTCAAGATAATTATCTCCTTGTTTTTTCAGCTTTTCATCATCCCTGTTGTAGAAAGGTATTATTATTATTATTATTATTATCATTATTATCATTATCATTATCATTATTATGATAATGATGATGATTATTATTATTATTATTATTAATATTATTATTATTATTATTATGATTTTTATCTCATAACCGAAAATAAAGTAAATAAATTCCACAGATAGTGATATTGAAAGGTATATAACTTTCGTAAATTGACTTCTATTATAATCTAAAAAAAATCAACCCCTTAATGAGGCTGTCCTGTAATTACTGAATTATAATTATGTCTGAACTATAGTTTAATTATGAATTACTTAGAAGATTAGTAAGTTTCTGTGTTCTGAATGACGAGATCTTTTTTATTACATCTTTTTTTTTATCTTTATCTTTTTTTTTATTTTATTATTTTATTACTTTTTAATTACAATTTGATAATGAATTACCAAAAAGGTCATCAAAGTATCTATAAATAGTCGAGGGAGATTCGTTGGCCTTTGCTGGAGCGCCAATCACAAGGATGCGTTCATATAATAAATGAGATGTTTATTAAATGACTTTTATTTAATTAATGAGGTTTACATAATAAATGAGAAACTTAATTGTTTAGCTTTGATCTAAGAGAATAAATAATATGGGAATGATGTACCAAAATGGGATTTAATTAGGAATTAGGAATTGTAGATGAGTTATAAGGAGTTAGGTAATTAATGGAATTATATAATTATAAAGGTCTAGATTGCAGAAATTTGTAAAACCCAATAAATAAGGTGGAAGGTGCTATTTAAGATGAGAGGATTTACAAAGTCTGTAGGTTTGGGTATAAAATGTTACCTGCTTTTTATTTTTTATATAGATTTACTATTTATGTCTATATGCACACACACACACACACACACACACACACACACACACACACACACACACACACACACACACACACACACACACACACACACACACACACACACAGAGTCATGTCAGTCATGTATGTAATTTATCTCTGTATATTTGATATCCATGTCTCTGACCTTTTTTGACAAAACCCAAAGACTTATTATATAGTTCATAATATTTAAGAAGTTATTTGTACCGTATTTCCATCATCTGGTGCAGTATTATACTGAGCCAGATATCAACATCAAAGTAGGCATTTCACAAATAAAAGGCCAATTATATCACAACTTTGAATAAGGCTGGCTGTATATCATTAACAGCCAGAAATTTTGTTACTTCTGGCATATGTTCTTTTCCTCTGAATTTAGGTTTAATTTTTGATAGAAGAATTACTGTGATTGACGTAATTGCAGCTTTTGCAGAGTCTCGGGCTAGTTATGTCAACTTGTCTGCTTTCATTTGGGTTTTTCTTTATGTTAATTAAGTTCAGGAATTACCCTAGGCAAGATCTACTTATTTGGAAGCTGTGGTTTTTCTTCTTTTCTTGGTCCCTGTTTTCATTCTCGTACTAACCATTCTTTTCTCTCTGTTTTTTCTTTCTTTTTTTGTGTGTTTATAAATAAAATAAAAATGATATTACCTTCCATTTTTAGTAGCTGTGCCATGATTCTTTGCAGTTCTTTAAAAAGATTACGGGGATTTCATCTGGTCCAGCTGTTAATTTTGTTGCACTGTATCATTGCTTCAATTAGTCTATGTTTGTCATTCATTGAAAGTTGTATAGTTAAGATTGTTAGGATTCATTATCAATGAATCAGTTATCATTATGCTGAAATGTCTTTCACTAAGAACTTTATATTGCAATTTGATTTCTTATTTGGAAAGAAGTTGGAATATTTTGCTGTTTTTTCTCAAGCTTAAGCTACCTTTTTTCTAGATTTGTATAATCTATCTATTAGTTCTTTCATTTCTAATCTGATCCTTTGTTTCATTATCAGCTGTCATATTAGGTTACTGTATTCCTTTTTCTCAGTTGTAAGATTTTTGTTTCTATTCTTTTGGTGAGGTGCAAAGCATCTCTACAAGCATCATAAAACTGGTTCATTAGGCTTATTGTCAGTGTTTATAGAATTTCAAGATAAGCTTTGTGTTTCTTTTTTACGATAACAAAATTCCCAAATACTCCCATTGTGATTCAAGTTGCAGTATCTTGTGCAGGTACCATCACTGATAAATTCTAAGTTGTATCTCCATTGCATACCTGTTGCTTGCCTCTTTATACCATATCCAAGCTAGTGGTGTCTTGCTGTTGAAACCTGAATAGAAAATAGATGTTACAAAATGAAGCAAAAATATACCGGTTCAGGATTTCAGTGTATAACTTTTATGAATATTTTAATGTTTTATTTACCCAACTGTCATTAATGTGCATGTGTCATTAATTGGCATGCAAAGGCTCTAATTCAGAGCAATTTTACTTAAAAATAAGCTGGTTAAGGGGCTTAATTTTACATAATGTACTAATAGTGTTCTCTGGAAACATGATTCTTTTGCCTTCTTTTGAGAAACATTAATTTTGTATACCCCAATGAGAGAGAAAGAGATCATAGTGGCAATGCAGAAACAAATATTAGAATGTTTCTGAGATGGAATGATAGGTTACGAAATTGTTTCTGTAGAGGCACAACCAAAGCCTATGAGAAATAAACACTGTGATCATATAGTTAAAGAGACCCAAAACTTAATTGGTTTATTTTTAGGTCACTGAGAAAACCTTGAATTAGGTAGCAGCTTATGTCTCAGCAATACCAAGCAGTTGCTGGCCTTAAGTATATGTGTGTGAAAACGTACAATTCTTAGAACATGCATACATACAAATACAAATGGCTAATTGGTACAAGGATTGGAGAAGCAAGGCAGATGAGATTCCACGTCCATTTTATTTAACTGTTTCCTTTTTTGTTTCATTTCTTTTCTTTTCATGTTTCAGCAGCTAGTCTACTTTTTAAGACTAGCTGCAGATAAGTACTTAAATACTTATAGTATTAGTATGTTTATTTTTATATTTTATTTATTTATTTATTTATTTATTTATTTTAGCAAATTCATGCAGTTACATAACTTTTACTTGCTGTCACATTCCTTTTAACTTTCCATTTTTTTGTATCAATTAGGTAAGATGTTTGATAATGATCCATGTGTGTGTCTTATGAAAACTGCAGGTGAGATCTGAGAGACTGGTGTGAACTTTCACATTTTATCTGATTACTAGTGTGTTGGTTCCAGATAGTCTAATAGGAGGATTTACAGAATGTCTTGTGTTATTCACTTTGTAGATATGGTGTATGATTCATTTATTACATGTGATGAATGCTTAGCATGCAGAATGCAAAAGATTTTGATCATTTGCAATATAGGGTTGATACTGTATTTTTACATATGTAGAAACATTACATACTTTCCACATGATTTTCACACACAAAAAAAGAAAAAAAAATCACATACCAGAGTCTATGTCCCATGTTTACATATCACTTAACTTTTATTATAATCTAAACCAAACTACTGTTTTACAAATATCTTTCATTCACAATTTTCCTTACAGATCATCTCAGTATCTAGATAGTGGACCTTAGTCATGCAGAAAGTTCCTGAGATGCAGCAGGAGCTGGAGGAAGCAGTCAAGGAGTTCCACAGGCTTCAAGGGATGAGGCAACAATACCTGCAGAAATGTAACACTGAAATCATTAGTGTTTTGGTAAGGGTCACTCTGTTCTTTAGTCTTTTAAGCTCTGAATGGATGTAAAATATGTCATGTGATGGAAATAAAAGCGGTGATTTTATTTCTTGCCTGTTACATATATATATAAACTTTGCTCACATTATTTGATGAATATATCTCACTCAAATGTGAGACTGGAGACATATCCGTGGTGATCTGTTTAATGTATTTTCCAGAAACAGTCTTTTAAGCAGTAAATTTAAGTAAATTTTTTCTTTACAGAAGCATTTCTTAAATGAGAAGTTCAGAATTGAATTGCAAGAACACTTAGAAGGCAGAAATGAAAGTCTCGAAGATAATGTCAAGTTTATAGATAACACCATAAATTCTGCGTGTGATATCCACGAAGACATTATCAGTCTTAGACAGCAAGTTATTGATATATTCAATGAAGGAGTCTCACCAGAAGTAGCTGCAGACAACTCAGATGCTTTGGTATTTTTTTATTTTTTATTTTTATTATTTATTTACGTATTTATTGTTGTCATTATTATATATATCTTTTTACATAAACTTTGCTATACTTGGAATATTTAGATATGTATATTGCATCTGACCTATGCTTAGCCACAATTGAATTCAGAGTCATATGCCTAGGCTGTGATAGTTACATGTGGATGTGTGTGTGTGTGCGTGTGTGTGTCTGTGTAAGTATACATTTTCTTTCATCTTCATTGCAGTGTTTCTTATTACCATTATAACAGTAGAACTATCATGATGAATTAACTTTCCTCGAAACCAGGTTGCAGACCGAGGCATGGCTGACTTCCAAAAGTTATCATGCGAAACAAAGGATCAGGTGATGTTGATCAATAACCAACAAGAATTATATGAAATGATCATGAGTGAGACTGAAGAAGTAGTTCTCAAGAAGGTAATTATTATTATTATCGTCTCCATCAAACTTCTTTGTGGGATGGGTTTTTTTTTTCTTATTTGTTGCAATACCAACTTTATTTTAAGCTGAAGGCATTGAAAAGGAGATTTGGAACAAAAGTAGGTAATATAAATCATATAAATTAATTTGCATGTCTGAGTAGGACATTTATATTGCATATTTTGTATAATATACTAGATCTTTCATAAAACTTCATATTAATAATTCTCATAACTTGTTAAAGGTTCCTTTGTAAAAGTATTTGAGAAGATGTATTTTTGTCTCAAATTTGTTTTGTGTAGATAAACTGATGATAGTTATATCAAGTCATGATATAATTGGAATATTTTACATATTTTTGTTACCCACTAATTTTACTCCTTTATTACAGTATAATAAGAATTACCTGTTTCATAATGCATTTGTTGATCTTAAATTTGTTGATCTCAATTTTTTTTACATTACAATATTTTGTAATGTTATAAGTAGTCAAGATTTGTATATCAAATAAGAATGTATTATGAATTAGATTATTTAGTGTCATTTTTAATCCTTTTTCTCTACAGTAGTGTATTTTTCCTTTATTTTTTAAATTTTATTTGACATTATAAGTTGATGTACATGAGGAGGGATTTGCAGAGAGGACAAGAAGCTTCTTACTTCAACCAAAAGTTCAAATTGCTTTAACATTAGTGTTAATTCAATTTTATTTAAATAGATCTGATTTATGACACTGTTCAAGTTTTGCCAAGATTATGGACCTCTAAATTTGCAAAAATGATGTTGAGTTCATGGCATGGGACAACTAGAGATATTTTGGACATGTGCATATTTAACTTTTTTGTTTTGTGAACAAGTTCTGGATTACTGTTACCTAATGGATTAGATATATTTTTACTTTTGTCCAGTTTACTTGGTTATTTAATCAGCAAGTTCAGTTTTATTCCTGTTGAAGTGTAGATACTATTAACAAAAGATAATATGTGACCCTTACTGCTGGAAGTGGAAAGAACCTTTAAACAGGGGGAAAAATTGCTTGTATATACATCATTTGAAATTTAGATAACTGTTAATGCTTCATTCAGTAGTTATTTATTACTAATGTTTCACAGGGAAAGATTATTCCTAATTGTGATGGTCTGTTACTCCACTTTGTTACCATACTACACATTGTTAGTAGCTCTGATATATAACAAGGTACTCATTTCCTAAAATGTAATGAAGCTAATTCCCACTGTCCAATCTATGAGAGCTTATATGATTGATAATCAAACTAATTCCCACTGCCCAGGATATGAGAACTTATATGTTTGATATCACTATTTCAGGTGAACCAAATATTATGTAAGATGGATACAAGTCTGCAAGAAACACACAGAGAAGAGAAGGAGAATCTAGATGCCCTTGTGACTGAAATTACAACAGAGATAGAAAAAAATGTTCGTT